TATAGTGGTGTGCTTGCGTATGTATGTATGCATTCATGCATGTATGTATGTACATGTATTTAGTACTATTTACGTACGTATGTATAGTATGCGTGCATGTATAGTATGCGTGCATGTATAGGTATGTATGCGCCGCGTATGGGGAGCGGTCCTGCATCCCACCCTCCCCCCAAGGCACCACCGCATGCACCCTCCATGCGACGACAACACACAGCGCCCGCCCGGGGGAGGAACGCATATAAAGCATTGATATTAAAAATGGTCTCGTGTCATCGGGATCGTATTAACGATCGCGGGGACGACGGGCCTATGTAAAATTAATTAGGGCAAAACTAATTAGGATTTCGGCATTGCGGGTTGGCTTGCAGCGAACGAAATACTATGTACTATACTATGCATGAGTAACAGACAGGAGAACTAATACAGCAGTGGATCGTGGAGGAGCATCAGGGTGGGAGGTCACTGGGGGTCCGTCCGTGCATAAATTAATACTCGGATAGGTCAAGTCCGTCGCTAGCGGTGAAATCATCGTGATTTATGATGCGATGTTATGATGTGATTGGAGGGTGGTCACTGGTGGCAGGCTAGGGGTGGTGGCAGGCTAGGGGAGGTGGCAGGCTAGGGGTGGTGGCAGGCTAGAGGAGGTGGCAGGCTAAAGGTTGGTGGCAGGCTAGGGGTGGTGGCAGGCTAGGGGTGGTGGCAGGCTAGGGGTGGTGGCAGGCTAGGGGAGGTGGCAGGCTAGGGGTGGTGGCAGGCTAGGGGAGGTGGCAGGTTAGGGGTTGGTCACACACTACAGCACACTGCACACTGCAGTGTGAGGGTGGTGGGAGGCTAGGGGTGGTGGCAGGCTAGGGGAGGTGGCAGGCTAAAGGTTGGTCACACACTACAGCATACTGCACACTGCAGTGTGAGGGTGGTGGGAGGCTAGGGGTGGTGGCAGGCTAGGGGTGGTGGCAGGTTAGGGGTGGTGGCAGGTTAGGGGTGGTGGCAGGTTAGGGGTGGTGGCAGGCTAAAGGTGGTGGCAGGTTAGGAGTGGTGACAGGTTAGGGGTGGTGGCAGGCTAGGGGTGGTGGCAGGTTAGGGGTGGTGGCAGGGTAGGGGTGGCCATATACAGCACACTGCACACTGCGAGTGCCGACTGGGAGCAGTGAGAGTGTGAGAGAGACCCCACCGCTGCTGCCGCTACCACTGCCTCGCCGTTCACGCAAAACTCTCCAGCAGGCTTCATGCGAGGGTGTATTATTAGACAAACACGAAAATATATAACCTAGATTCGGCCGCGATGCTGGTTTCGGCAGTCGCACCCCTCACCCCTCGGCAGCCTGCGAAATGGAAGAAGTTTAGGCTAACCCAAGAGGTTGTCCTACCTCTTGTTGCACCCTACGGCCTTATGTCCTATCGGGAGACCAAGAGGATAAAGTAAGAAGAAAAGAAGAGCTTGTCCCGATGCAGTTATTCGAGCGCGACGCCGAGTGGACGTCAGACCTCCGACATCCGCAGCATCTTCTTAACGTAACAGCTTCGTGCGTAGCCTCCGGGAAGCCCTACAGCATCCGACAGCGAGCCTAGGTTCAGCCAGATCACACGCAGACGCGTCTAGACACTGATGCCGACCGAGTCAATATCTCGTTAGGCCGGTTTTTAAATTCCAATGAAGTGCGGCCGAAAATCAATCGCCGAAGAAATTAAACCGATGTTCGGCGATGCGGGCAGAAATGAAACCGCCCCGATTTGTTCCCGGGCGGTGAAATTAATCCCATCTGTACATCCAAGTCGATGAGAAATGTTTTTTTAATTGACACGATGTCGCCGAATAGCAGTTGAAGAGTTTAGCAGATCATGCAGAGAGACCGGGATACAGTCTGTCATTTGAATTAATCAGATTGAGTAGTCCAGGTTACTGTTGAATCCCTACCTTCAACCAGTAATCAATCTATGACAATCCACCCCCACTGACCACCTACCCTCCACTACATACCAACCTCTCCACCCCAAGACCCTCTACTACCTCCCACCTTAAATAACCTCCAACTCCTGCTCTTCAGTGTTTCCAGCCTCTGAGCCAGTTATGTAGTATTTGCAGCAGCTGTAGTAAATAAGGTTGAGCTACTGGTGCATGGTGAGTCAGTACCAAATATGACAATATAGTCACAAGTGGTCTACATCTGGTACACACCCTATATCACTGACAGATCCAGCAAGCCAAGTCAGTGTGACAGACTCAGTACAACTAACCTGACATCAGTTAGCCAAAAGATGACAACCATTCCTGCTAGGAATGTAGCATGGATTATAATATATCACCCCAAAATCCTACCAAACCCTAGTCACCACCACTAGCAGTATGCTAACTAATAGCCAATTTTAGCCATATCATGTCCTGACAGACCAGCTAAACCATGTACAGCCTTCATACGGGAGTTGAAAACTATTCACTTGCTGACATTGGTCTTTCTTTCTTCTAGTAATGTAGCCTACTAGGCAATATTCCATCATAGGAGGCTCACACTGACATACCTCGCCTGGCTGCAAGTGATGTAGACATCCACGGCTTGCCGTAGCTAACAAGAATTTCCTAGTTAATGAAGTACGAAATCACATTCACAGACAGAGTTTTTGCCAAGGACCTTATATATAGAACTGCATATCAGCAACATGTGGGGAAATACCGAGCGACGATTGATCACAGCTAGCTTCTCACACGTAGCAATGATGGCATGCTAACACAAAGTTCTGAACACGGCAACAATCACAGAAGCCTGACCGCAAATATCACACATCGATCGACCCGATCGTTATTGCTGTTGACAATTTTGTTTACAATTCTCTCTGCTCACATACACACACCTACAGCCCATGACATCATCAACGTTAGTGTGAAAACGCTAATTCCACGCGTTAGTTTGTTTGATTTTTAAAAACGATCACTCTGCGCTGTCCCAAATTAATTTCTTAAACAGATGTTAATCGCGATTGGTAAATCCCACCGCTGAATGTGCTGAGTTGTCTGCTTGGATTCCTCACACTTCTCAGACTTATTTTCGACGGGGGGACATTACGGAACCAAGGCAATTCCTGTGTCTCTGAATTTGGCGCCAACTCATTAATGAATAACAAGAACTGGCGCCGTTTGATATCTCATGTCACGGAACTCGATAAAACTGGAGCATGTAGGTCTCTGCATATAGACACAGGAACACCTCTAAGTGTAAGAATGTCCACTCCCCGCCACCATCAGTCATCACGCCAGCCACACATAGATTTTCATAGCCGCGGCTACATTAATTATTATTAATATTAGAACTACGCGCTTGTCAACATTGATATCGCATGTATAAACAAACAGCAATGCCAGATAAGATACGGACATCTGATTAGACAACTATGCATAGTATAGTTTGAATGGATCTCCCAGTTGCAGTGAGTAAGTACTTCAAGTAGGTTGAACTTGTAGCCTGTGAGTAATCTGGCTGTTGTTGACGCGTTTGTTTGCACGATCCCACAAAATACGGAATGGCTTTATCATGGACGAGCCCGTGTTGCTGAAAGATCTTTTTAACTCAGCGCTAGCATCTCTTAATATTTCCCGAATAATTATTTATTAATAATTGCGTAAACCTTCCGTTTCGACGCCCGGCACACGCCGCAGTTGGGCCAAGTCTTGGGCATTCACAAAATTCGTCTGCCGAAGGGCAGGGAAAATCTATTTTTGTTGCAACCTCCGCCGCTTTTGTCTAAATTTTGCAGGAACTAAGTAAGCATCGACGTAGTAACAACTCCTGATGAAAATAGAATAGCCACAGCACTTATATTAATCTAAGATCGCTTTGTCGAAAATTGAAGATGCTACTTACCGGTGAATTTTCCTGGCAGTTTTCAAATCGGTCACGCCTTGATCATTGCCCATCAATGGCCGCGCATACGATCTGATGACGTCAGCGCCACTGCGTTCCAGACACAACTAAGTGAAATAACTATTCGGCTCCTTCGCACACACGGTCACGGTGAAGCTAACCCGACCAGGCTGTGTGACTAACGTCAATACACCTAGGGTATCTAACCCTAGCAATACCGTTTCTTGGAGCTAGGTGAAGCGTTGGGAACATGTACATTATATTATAAATATTGGTTAAAGTAAACAAAGCTAACTAGCATAAATTCTAGGAGAGAATGATCATGTTTCCGTGGTGGGGATGAGGTGGATGGGGATGAGGTGGGGTGTAGGGATTTACATGATGAGTAAAAATAGAAATGCAATAAAGCCAACCACAGAAATCCGCATAAAACAAACACCACGAGAGGAGACCAGTAAATATTTGTTTTTGGACATCAGTATGGCATATAGTGCATAACTATAGGGTGATACTCCATTAGGAGTGTTCCCAACTTTAATGTCATTATAATGGTCATAATAACATATATATATATATATATTATATGGTCATATATTGGTTTGTGGTTTAATGTCATTTAGGTTAGGGTTAGGATTAGGATTATTAGTCATTAATCATTAATGATATCAAAGTTGGGAACACTCCTAATAGAGCGTTAGCCTAACTATAGCTTATTTTTATTCGTCAGTTAATTAGAGTGTACGGACACATGATTAGGTTGATTAATTAACAGAATCCTTGCCATATAATTAATTATTCCTTAGAAAAAAGATCCAATTAAACGCGTAAGTGACCCAATAAATAATTATAATAGTAAAGACGTTACACCAATCCTATAATATCAATATTTAAATGAATATCAAATGTTAATCAGGCAGATTACACGAGTAAGATATTCACTTGGGTTTGAATATTTCTCAAAAATCGAATGCAAATTAAAACTAATAACAAAACATCAATGATACTTAGGATTTTTTTTTACAAAAACTAGTAAAAATTCCCTGTTGCGTTTAACTGCAATCATCTGCTACGTCATTTGTGACTCATCATGGTTGAACCAGCCATTCACTAATGAAATAAAACATCAGATAGAAATTTAACAACGTGTCTATTAACCTTCTGACATTTTTTATTGAATCACATATGAAGTAGTGAATCATGTTTCACTAATCCGCAGGCATTGCGTTCTTGACAATGTGACAGCAATAGAATCTAAGGCTATGTGTTAAGCAGGTAGACGTCCTATTCCATTCCATCGCGGTCTAAACACTAAGACATACAATCATCATTATCACAGAAAAACATTTCAAGAGAAACAATTAACTTAACGCGCTTTAAGCTTCACCGATAACAACACACGCACACACAGTTATTTACACAGCTTAGAGCCTTAGATGATGGCGACGGCACATCGGATCCATCCAAGTAAACAAAAAATAATACAAAAATATAAATAAATAAACACGTACGTACGAATAGGTGTATTGGTTATAATAAGCGGCTCATTAAATGCTTTTCATGACTTAAAATATATCACAACTCGTGATACACTCGCTAAACATCCATGATCAAGACATACTAGGAAGCCAATAACTGCTTTACAAAATCGATGACATCGTGGCGCCATCTAGTGTCAATAATTAATAGAGACTGTAGTTCGAAGTGTTGACAGTTCAGGCACATAGCTGAAGAGCTTACACATGCGATTACAAACTACCTATTTCAGCAGTGCTAACTAACATAGTTGTCTGTTGATCACCTAAAATTATAACACTAATGTTTAATTACACTGTGGTGGCGATACACGAATCAAAAGCACAAAATAAAAGTTGCTGGAACAACAAGATACTTGATGGGTTGCGGCGTGCAACTAACAACTAAGATGTGTGGCTCTGTTAATTATAACGACATGCTTCTATAGAGAATTTTTGCTCCCTTAGTGCGAGAAATTACGTCAAATATCGCCAATACAGTTATGCCTGAATTGAATAATGAAATTTGAAATTAATGCCTTGCTATAACCTTAATGGCATGGTAAAAATTCAATAGTTCCCATGTATCTGATTCAGTGCAAATTAAAACTGATGACAAGCAGGGGAACCTTGGCATTTCTGCCACACGACGGTTGTACACTACAAAGGTATATATATATATATATATATATATATATATATATATATATATATATATATAATAGATATATATATTAGCATACATGAGTTCATAGTTATACCTTCTACTTCCGGCCGAACATTAACAGACCCACCCATCTCTTCAATGTGCTGAGTAAGACCAGTTTCATTGATACTTTGTAGCATCTATACTTTATACATGTTTGTGTGAACAGTTCAGCCCGTGACTAGAAAGATGGCTATCGGGTGTCACAGCAAAACTTCTCACTAGTTGAGATCACCTCTGTAACCTTTACTCCCGCTCGTCCTCGCTCACAATCATTTCAGACTAGGACTATACAATATATACATTCTCGAAGTTCCAAAACATACTTCACAGAGGTCGGCTCGACACACTCTTTCTCTTGACACATTATAATAAACACTAAAAACCCTGTCACGTCGGCTGGCTAGATGCAACAAATCCCTGCAGAGTTTGCATGCCTTCAGTAACCCATCATGGTGGCTCTGTGCATCACATAGCCTCCTGCAAGCCCGTCAGTTAGGACCCATTCGATGGTGGCCTCTGTTGACATCCATAGCCTGCTCAAGTTAGTACCCACTGGTGGCTCTGTGGCAATCACTAAAATATGCCTTCAGTAGCCCATCATGATGGCTTTACACATCGCATAGCCCTCAGTAGCCCATCATGGTGGCTCTATACATCACATAGCCCTCAGTAGCCCATCATGGTGGCTTTACACATCACACAGCCCTCAGTAGCCCATCATGGTGGCTCTGTGCATCACATAATCCCTGCACGACTTCAGCATGGGTTTGTCCTGCATCAGCTGGAAGGCAGCCTTCTGCAGCTTGAAGTCGTTCTTGCGCACGTACATGCGCGCGTCCTGCTGCAGCTGGTCCAGTTTCTCTGGCCGGATCTCGTCCAGGAAGATTTCGTCCGACATGTACGGGTTGAAGCGGAAGTATACGGACGGCGGCAGCAGATCCTGCAGCGTGCTGTGCACACCTGCAAATAAAAAGGGACAGTCTACATTTGCAAACCTGCAAACGTAGCAGCAGAGTAAATAATTGCGTAGCTGGACACCCAATGATAAGGTTAGTAATTGAACCTAGAAAATACAATGGCACAGCTGCTAACTCACCAGCACAGATAACAGTTCAACTATAATAGCTGCAGACGTAATAGGGCAGTCACTAATTACATACCTGCACACCATTGATAAGGTAGATAAGGTTAGTAATTAAACCTAGAAAAGTACAATGGCACAGGTGCTAACTCACCAGCACAGATAACAGTTCAACTATAATAGCTCCAGACGTAATAGTGCAGTCACTAATTACATACCTGCACACCATTGATAAGGTTGATAAGGTTAGTAATTAAACCTAGAAAAGTACAATGGCACAGGTGCTAACTCACCTGCACAGAAAACAGTTCAACTATAATAGCTGCAGACGTAACACTGTTAACACTACGCCCTCCGTAGCTGTTGGTCTATCATAGTGCTAGTCTATGTATTATGTGTATATATCATTTCATATTACTGTCGCGACCCGCAGCCCGCGACAACGACTCACCCTCGGTGTCCGTAGCACTGTCGATGATCTTCGTCACCTTCGTCTTCAGACTGCTGAAGTTCTGATCACCCTCGTGATGCGGTTCGTATCGTCCGTTGCCTAGCGACAGCACGCACTGGATCGGCTCGTTCGGCCAGATCATCTTCGCCTCGTGGATTGCGAGAGCGGTCGGGTTGTTCGTGAGTATGCCGCCATCCTGATAGATAGATAGATAGATAGATAGATAGATAGATAGATAATAGATTTGTTGCAAAACTAGTATTAACAACGTTACAATTAAAATAAAATTTGCAAACACGATATTATCAGGCAGTATAAAACTGAAATTGATGATATTTACAATAATATATGTCCCATGGTAAGACATAGATATCACAATATTGGTTCATAAAATTATATCACTACAATTAAAATCATCTTTAAGAATATATACAATATTTAAAATAACGTGATCCTTAACGTCAAAACAACGTCAAAAATAAAAGGTATGGTAAAAAATCCTGCAATCATAGACGTTGTACGTAGTGTGCCGTCGGCCACGCGCTCGATCGCCGCGACGACGACACACGCAACCGCGCGTTGCCATGACGACGGCGCATTTCGCTGCAACTATGACGCGTTTTGCTTACAATCGAGAGGCATGGGAACTGTGCACAACCGCAACCAATATAACGACGAGGCAGATGCGGAGTATTCGTTACCGTGACGACGACTCGAGGGTTACCACGATTGCCCCGCGTTTCGCTAATAATCAAGAAAGTCATGAATGAAATAAGTTCATTGGATTTCGTTGAAACCATGAATTCATATTTACCTTGTGTTTTTCTTGGATTTGACACAAGATAAATATGAATTTATAATCAAGAAAGTCGTCGACGCTGAGCGAGTTACCGCGACAACCGCGCGCGCGTCGCCGCGACGACGGAATGCCGACCGCTCACCTGGTGGATGATCGACCCGACCTTGACCTCGTCGAAGTACCCCGGGGCAGCAGACGACGCCTGTACGGCCTCCCACAGCTTGTGCTGGCAGCTGCCGCAGACGTGCGACTGCATGCGCGGAGGCAGGTTGTAGTTGCGGAAGAGGAACGCCCGCAGCATCGGCCGGTTTACGACCGTCGACACGATCGACATCTGCTCGCGCGCGCGAGAAAACAAAAGGCCATCTGTATAGAGGGCGCTCACGGTGGGAGAAACACGCGGTACGTATGGACGCACACCGACGTGCGATTATTTAGACAGAAGGTACTGGTGCCGTGAGTGGAAGGGGTGTGGCTGTGACATAAAACATACTCTGTATCACTGCTATACAAGCCACATTGCAGTATATCTGCCTGTTTATGTGGTACGTGTATAAAATTGAGAACGTACGTTTAAATGTTAGGCTAGTCCAAAAATAACGTTTATAATGTATTATTTTTAGTATATATATATATATATATAGTTATATGTATACTTTAGTATGTTCAAATTTTTTTATATAAAAAGTTTCCCGATAATCTGCACTACAGAGGGCGCTCTGTCGTATGTGGATGTTTATATTTACCTTGGGTGTGCCTGGATTTCGCACAGAGTCAATCATGTTTATATCTCCAAGGTTGTCCCTGAAATAGCATATACACACTTGCTATCAATGTGCCAGTGCCACATCTCTAGTAAAGAAACAAGAGGGCGCAGAGCATCTGGCTCATCTGGGGTCTGTTGGCTGACGGTTATAACGTAAGCATTTAAGTCGTGCAAAGTGACACTTTGTTGGCGCAGGTATGGAGATAGACGCAAGTTGCGTACACATCATTTCAGCAACCTTCTGCATTCTGCATTTTCTAATACCTCGCCAAATCTCCATTGGTTGAGTACAGATCGCGTGCGTGGAAAGACTCTTTTGTAATGGTGCATTCGTGACCGAGATAAACGCGCTAACCCTATCTAGTAAAAAAAAATTGGGAATTTGTTGGTACTGAAAATTGTTGTAAAAATTAATTGTTGTTTTATGACAATTGTTGTAAACTAAATTCATGTAATATTTCCATTAATTGGAAAAGAAAGTAGTTAAATGGATAAAAAGAATACAGATAAACAGGTATAATAATAAAATAATCTGATGGGATTCGATCCAAGGACCTTGAGCTCGTAATCCTGTGCTAGTAGCCGTTTGTCTTACGAGCGATATATTGGTCTTCCAGCATTATGGATGTGTCATAATATGAAAGAACACATGTGACACCATTGGAGGCAGTTCGGAATCCCATGTGTGAACCCTGCCGGTTGAGGGGCAAAAGGTATCAGCAGCACTATTACTCCTCGCACGTCAGTAAAAATCACATTTCATGTCCTCTCTCCAATAAGCCATAAAAATGGTAGCGTCACCGCTGAACAAGAAAAAGGTTTTTTCACTCTGTCCCATTAGGCCATGTCCTCAGAAAATGTCTGATATCTGGCACTTTCCCCCTCTGCGCTTTGCACCTGTGACTCGCAATTTCGCACCTGGTGATGGGTTCTGGCCCTCAGCACTATACACCGAATATTAAGAGCATAGGTGAAGCCGTTAAGATTTGTGCCTGCAATTCCGTATTTGTCCTCCTATACCTTAAGTTTAAGGGGAAAATACTTCCCCCTCCGTTTACACACATCTTGACATTTGGCAGTTGACCCCCAAATGTTGTCATCCTGAGTATTTTTCACGAGCGCCCCCCCCCCGACGTCCGCGATATGGTGACCGTCCTGTCGAGCGGCTTAAGATTTGTGGCCCCAACTTGTTGACCACGCACGCTAACGGCACGCAGCGGGCACGCAACAGACAATCACGCGATTCTCCCAGCTACGCTTTATTTTTTTCTATGCTATTGTTATTTTTTTTTTTCTTTATTTTCTTTCTTTTTTTTGACTGATCGTCAGATAAGGCTAATAAATAAACAAAAAATATGTGCCCACACACGTAGGCACGCACACACACAGACACATGCACATACGCACAGAGAAGGTTGCACGAACACAGCACAAACAGACGCAGCCGCGCGCCAGGACGCGACGCACGCACTGCACGCAGCACACATATATATATCACAAAAGCTTGTTTATCTCGTATTTCAACTCCAGTTACATGAGCGACGTGTGATTGTAATATAGTGACATAGTAGTGCCGAACAATTAATTAGCGAAAAACATTCTACTCGGCCGTTGCCACGGCAACAGAGCTGTAGGATGAGGAGAGTGAAGCTCACCGTAGTATCTTCTGCCAAGTGTCTGTGTCATAGTAGGCCATGACTCATGCATAAGCTACCAGTGCGTGGCCTGCCTGAAACACAAACGTACGGTCACTAACGCAGACGGGGTCGTTGTCGTATCAGGTACTACAGATATGTACCCCGAGGTAGTTTTAGGTCGTTTAGTATTATCGTTTATATTGTTTATATATAGGTATGTTTAGGGTAGGGTTAGAGTTAGGGTTAGGGTTAGGGTTAGGGCTAGGGTTAGGGTTTAGGATTAGGGTAACACTCTCTGTAGTACAGAGTCTGGTACACTTTGTGTATACATATATGTACCTGCGGGTACATATCTGTAGTACCTGATACGACACAGCGACCCTTCAGCGTCACTAAACGAATGAGGCAGAGATGTGATCATCATTGAGCCTGCAGTGGTAATAAACCTAACCCATCTCTCTTACTATACTTGTTATTATCATTCAGCCCACAGTGTATAAACCTAACAACTCTCTTACTATACTTGTTATTATCATTCAGCCCACAGTGTATAAACCTAACAACTCTCTTACTATACTTGTTATTATCATTCAGCCCAGTGTATAAACCTAACAACTCTCTACTATAACTTGTTATTATCATTCAGCCCACAGTGTATAAACCTAACAACTCTCTTTACTATACTTGTTATTATCATTTCACACCCACAGTGTATAACCTAACAACTCTCTTACTATACTTGTTATTATCAATTCAGCCACAGTGTATAACCTAACAACTCTCTTACTATACTTGTTATTATCATTCAGCCCACAGTGTATAAACCTAACAACTCTCTTACATATCTTTGTTATTATCATTCAGCCCACAGTGTAATAAACCTAACAACTCTCTACTATACTTGTTATTATCATTCAGCCCACAGTGTATAAACCTAACACTCTCTTACTATACTTGTTATTATCATATACAACCCACAGTGTATAAACCTAACAACTCTGCTTACTATACTTGTTATTATCATTCAGCCCACAGTGTTAACTAACATCTCTTACTATACTTGTTATTATCATTCAGCGCCAGGGTGTATAAACCTAACAACTCTCTTACTATACTTGTTATTATCAATTCAGCCACAAGTGTATAAACCTAACACCTCTCTACTATACTTGTTATTATCATTCGCCCACAGTGTATAAACTAACAACTTCTCTTACTATACTTGTTATATGATCATTTCAGCGCGCACAGTGTATAAACCTAACAACTTCTCTTAACTATACTTGTTTATTATCATTCAGCCCACAGTGTATAAACCTAACAACTCTCTTACTGATACTTGTTTATTATCATTCAGCCACAGTGTATAAACCTAACAACTCTCGTTACTATACTTGTTATATCATTCAGCCACAGTGTATAAACCTAACAACTGCTCTTACTATACTTGTTATTATCATTCAACCCACAGTGTATAAACTAACAACTCTCTTACTATACTCGTCATATCATTCAGCCCACAGTGTATAAACCTAACAACTCTCTTACTATACTTGTTATTATCATTCAGCCCAGTGTATAAACCTAACAACTCTCTTACTATACTTGTTATTATCATTCAACCCACAGTGTATAAACCTAACAACTCTCTTACTATACTTGTTATTATCATTCAACCCACAGTGTATAAACCTAACAACTCTCTTACTATACTTGTTATTCATCATTCAGCCCACAGTGTATAAACCTAACAACTCTCTTACAATACTTGTATGTTATAATCATTTCAACCCACAGTGTATAAACCTAACAACTCTCTACCTATACTTGTTAATCATCATTCAACCCACAGTGTATAAACCTAACAACTCTCTTAAGCTATACTTGTTATTATCATTCAAAACCAACAGTGTATAAAACCTAACAACTCTCTTACTATACTTGTTATTATCTTCAACCCACAGTGTATAAACCTAACAACTCTCTTCCTATACTTGTTATTATCATTCAGCCCACACGTGTATAAAACCTAACAACTCTCTTACTATACTTGTTATTATCATTACAGCCCACAGTGTATAAACCTAAACAACTCTCTTACTATACTTGTTATGTATCATTCAACCCACAGTGTATAAACCTAACAACTCTCTTTACTATACTTGTTAGTTATCATTCAAGCCCACAGTAGTATAAAACCTAACAACTTCTCTTNGATTAATCACAAGTTATATGTAAGAGAGTTGTTAGAGTTTATACACTTGTGGTGCTTGAATAGATAATAACAAGTTATAGTAAGAGAGTTGTTAGAGTCTTATTACACTGTGGGTTGAGATCAATAATAACAAGTATAAGTAAAGAGTTGTTAGGTTTATACACTGTGGGCTGAATTGATAATACAAGTATTAGTTAAGAGAGTTGTTAGCGTTATACACTTGGGCATGAATGATTAATAACAAGATATAGTACAGAAGCAGTTGTGTTAGGTTTATACACTGTGGCTGAATGAATACAACTAACAAGTATAGTAAGAGAGTTGTTAGGTTTATACACTGTGGCTGAATGAATAATAAAAGTATAGTAAGCAGAGTTGTTAGGTTTATACACTGTGGTTGAATGATAATAAACAAGTATTAGTAGAGAAGTTTTAGGTTTATAACTGTGGGCGAATGAAATACCAAGTATAGTAAGAAGAGTTGTAGGCTTTATACACTGTGGCTGATGCATAATAACAACATATAGTAAGAGAGTTTGTTAGTGTTATACACTTTGTGGAGCGTGATGATATTAACAGTATAAGTTAAATGAGAGTTGTTAGGTTTATACACTGGTGGGCTGTAATGATGAATAACAAGTATATGTAAGAGAGTTGTTAGGTTTATACACTCGAGACTCAATGATGATCACATCTCTGCCTCTGTTAGCTGTGAGCGGCGAAGGGTCGTTTGTCGTATCAGGGTACTACAGATATGTACCGGAGGTACATATATCGTATACACAAAGGCCAGATTGTACTGCAGACTGTAGCTACCGGCACGATTAATCCATAACCCTACCCTACCCTAAACCTAACCCTAACCCTAACTCTAACCCTAGACCCTAACATACGCTTTATAAAAAATATAAACATAAATACTAAACAACCTAAAACTACTCGTTCGGGTACATATCTGTAGTAACCTCGATACGACAACGACCACCTCGTCTGCGTTAGTGACGCCGTTTTACGGTTTGTGTTTCAGGCAGGAGGGTAAGCTTATGAATGAGTCATGCCTACTTGACACAGACACTTGGCAGAAGATACTACGGTGAGCTTCATCTCCCTCATCCTGACAGCTCTGTTGCCGTGCAACGGCCGAGTAGTCAGCCCACAGTGTATAAACCTAACAACTCTCTTACTATACTTGTTATCATCATTCAGCCCACAGTGTATAAACCTAACAACTCTCTTACTAGACTTGTTATTATCAGGTTGTTATTTCACGGTTGGTTGTTCGAAGGGCTTTTTTTCCCATTTCCTGCACAGAGAGTACTAACCCCTCCAAAAACCATAATAAAAATAAAGAATCCAACCACAATCCTCAACTCTTTCCACAATAATAATAATCACAGATAATAATAATAATAAAACACAACTATTATCATTAATAATAATAATAATAATAATAATAATAATAATAATTATTATTATTATTATAATCATCATTATAATAATAATAACTAAAGTAGAAATCATAATGACGATCCTGCGCACAGTACCTTACGAGGCGCGACACCGCGACCTCGCCACAGCTTAAAACAAGCGAACGGCAGAGCGACGCACCTATCCAGGAGTTTCGCGCGAACACGGTGCGGCTTGCCTCCTTGTAGAGCGCCTCGGCGTGGTCGAGCGTCTCGCGGTTGACCATGATGAGGGCGGCGATGAGAGCGCCCGTGCTCACTCCACACACGTAGTCAAACATCTCATACAAGGGGCGCCGGCAACGCTCCTCAAGCTGCTTCAGTATCTCCATGGAGACGAGGCCCCTGCGTGAGGGTAGACGCGTGGGAATGGCGTGGTGACAGTTACCAATTTTGATCGTGTATGGATGCATGGAGATGATTAGAGTGGACAACTACAGGTTAAACTAGTTCAGCACACTCCACATGTAGTTACCTGAACAGATAATTTCAGCAGCAAGTAACTCTAAGTAGGTATGAAAATATAAACTTCTATTGGCCGTGAACGTAACATAGGATTGATCATGCAATAATTGCATAGTAAGATGAGTTTTGAGTGTTCATTTTTCTTTGAGGTCAAGTATTTTTTTTATCTTAGCCAGATTCCCACAGCTCTAGACCAAGTGGGATTACAGACAGAATTTTCATGTGAGGGTTGGGGATAAGGGTAAACCCATGAATACAATCCTAACAAAAACTATAACACAACTACATACTCTATATCGCTCTAACCCTAACCCTAACTCCATAGTGATCAATGCGATGGCTATTATGGGCTACTGCAGGAGGTTACACTGCTGGGATACTACAACGTAACATACCTAGTGCCTCCTCCATCGATCGAGAGAATGCGTATGCCGGGACCACCGACGGGCGTGGCGTAACCCAGCAACGCTAGCGCCACCCTCACCTGCGACTGCAGGCTGTCTTGCTCCCTCATCCTCGCTGTTTCGCCGATCTGTAGGAGGGAGGGAATGATCTTCTCCTGCAATGTTGGAACGAGCGAGTAAGCGCAAACCCCCGTAACAGCAATAGCTACGTTTAATTTCTTTTTTTTTTAAATTGCTGTTATTACATTATTAACTACATTGTTGGGCTTTAAACATTGGAGGATCAATAACTGCCTCTAGTTATGGAATCCGGTTTCTCTCTGTACAGTGCATGCCTATAACTATGAGAGGTAGAAGAATATACGGCGAGTAGAAATAAGTGCACTAGTTAAAACAAACAGACTTCCATAGACACCGCTTGTGCCAATGACCCTCACCACATAAAACATGTATACTTTAGTTTACAACATACTTTACAACATACTTAATACGCTCTTGATTTTATTCATTACAGGAATAAGTGAATTGGGTCAGTTAGTGTTAATACAGTTTATTACATGGCATAAAGACCACGAAAGTGTCGGTTTTCGCTAATTCGTGTCTTCGTCACCTTAGCCGCGAGGTTTCTGGCATCGGGGTGTTTGAGTAGGTGTGTACAGAGCTCCCTGACACGGACTAGCTTCGATGTTTCACTCTCTGCACTCTTGATTCCCATCACTAGCCCTCGAGTCCTGCGCAGAGCAAGAGACGCTACATTGCAATGCCCTGGCAAGATGCCAGGTGTGGGGGAAAAACTTGCATATATCGAGTCGCGGGAGCCGTTGCGCTCTGTTTGGATAAACCAAGCACGTAGTATAGTTGGCATAAGCGAGAGTTCATTCGTGCTGAGGTCATTTCCCTTTCCCGAGCGCACATGCACTGCGTTACTTCACAGACATTACCGTACATGTACGTTACATTACAGTGATTACACACACACACACACGCGCGTGCGCACACACGCGCATGCATTATAGTACAAGTAGACTACATCAGAAGCATATAGCACTCCTGATTATATGTATATATTACATCATAGACAATTAGACATTACAGTACATGTACATAGCACCACAGGCATTATATTACATATAGGTTACATCAGGAATGAATAATAATATTATTATTGTATTATTATTCACTCCTGGTTACATCATAGACATTACAGTACATATGTACGCTACACCACAGAAAAAAATATCCACAACAAATAACAAAACATTACAATACATACATGTTACATAACAAATAAATTATAGTACATGTACATCACACCACAGACATTATAGTACGAATATGCACACTACACTACATTAGTCCAAACAAAAAAATAGGTGTATTTCTGGTTGACCGACCGTCCCTAGATTATTAGGGCCGACCCTAAACTTTTTTTCCCAAAATAAAAAATAAAAAGTTTTTTTATTTGAAATTTGACAGACAAAACTTGAGATTTTTTACTACAAACACGTTCTGGACTTGCTTACTAACTTATCCCTACCTATACACCACTTTATAGCAAAAAAAAAAAACCTTTACCTACCTACCCTACTTTTGTTTTCGATGCAATAGGAAACACACCTATTTTTTTGGTTTGGCCTTACTGACATTATACTAGTACATGTAAACTACATCTGAGGTATTATAGCATGATAATACACATAAAATGCATTATTTTACATGTACGTCAGTCACATCAGCAATATTATGTACACTAGCACGGGTATTACAGCACATGATAATCACATGAATAATCAAAAATACATTTTATTACAGAAATCCTCTGGAGGCACTATATATATTACATCAGGAGAGTATAATGACAAATATATGACACATATTTGACACAAAATATGACACATGTCATTATACGCTCCTGATTACATGTATGTTACACCATAGATATATACAAACATAATATGTTTGTACAATATACAACATGTGTTTGTATATATCTATGGTTAGACTAAACGGGTATTACAGCACATGGAAATCACATGAATATAATAAAAATACATTGTAAACTATAAAGGGCAGTTGTCGCCAACTACATGTATCCCCCGTGTTCTCCCCAAGATGTGTAAGTATACGAAGTTTGGTCGTGCTAGGTAAATTAGGGGTCGAGTTATAGAGCGGAAGGGAAATTGTCTGCGGCGGCGGCGGCTGGGGAGACATGAAACCACAAAACTTCGTCGCGTCGCGGGGGATACAATTACAGAAATCCTCTGGAGGCACTATATCACATGTATGTTACACCATATATATACAAACACACATATGTTTGTACAATGTACAACATGTGTTTGTATATATCTATGGTCACACCGTAAAACGACAAGCGCAGGTGGCATCTTACCGGTTATCTATATCGAGCTTGGGTACAGGAAACGCGTGCGTGGGGCGCTTCACCTCTTCGCCCAACCTCCGCAGAGCATGCCAGATGCCGGTCGTGGCCTTCGGCTGGGGAGGCTGGGGCGTGGCATGGGCAACTCTAGTAGCATCCTGCTTAGGCAGAACCTTAGCTCGTTGATCAGGCGACCTGCAGCACGAAAGTATCTCTAAGAGTTCCAACACGGGGGCTCTCTGACCTCGAAAAATCTCTAAGAATTCCAGTGACACAGGTTAGAATGCACCCTCTAGTCTCTGCATGATCTCATAATCATGAATGCATAGTCTCATGATAATGCATTTCTGACAGATGTAGACATTTTTTGCCAATTGCTATCAGTCAGTCTGTCAGGTGCAATTTGGTGAAAGATCTGCTGTGCAATGGTGTCACGTAAATTTTAAATTTCGCCGGCATTTTTCATCGGCCGGCAGCTGAACTCAGATGTAATTAAGCCGACCGCCTATAAATAGAAGATAAAAAAACCGCAAAGATCTAGTGATGGGGCACAAGTGCAAATCACACAGCAAAAAAACAGGGTGCACGATAGAAAGTGATGTAAACGGTAGTAAACACACAGACACTGGAACACGCAAGCACAGAAACTAGTGGCATTGCCTTACCTAACTCTAGAACTATAGCCCTTTGCTCTGCCACAAGCACCTGTGGCCTCTGCCACCTGTCGCAGAGTGAAGGGCTATAGTTCTAGAGCTATGCCTTACCCAGTAGTTTCCCTTGCGCGGGTGTGGTCCCCAGTCGGCTGGCTCCACCCTTCCATCAAGCTCCCCAGCCAAACCCCGCCCCATCGCGCGTCCGACTGCTCGCCTCCCGTCGACGCTCCCTCTCTCGCGGCGACTTCCTCTACCGTGCGCTTCTCCACGACCCGCTGCGGGGCGCCAGCGGAATCTCGTTGCACGGTGGCGCCACCACTCGGAGAGCTAGTGCTCGCCGCTCGTCGCGGCGTGGGGGCGCCGGCGTTCGTCGCGTTCGCGGCGAAGTCGGTTGGTTTCTCCAGCATCACGCACGCACTCTCGAACGCATGATCGCCGTCTAGATGTTCCGGAGAACTCGGAACGTAGCGCGCGGCGCCCGCCGCTTCTGCAGCGCCCCCTACGCTCGCCGCGCTATCACCCGTCCCGCAATCGCTACCCGGAGAGCTCCCGGTGGTCATCCCGTCATCTCTCTTCGTAACGCTCTCCACGCTATCCCCGGGAGCGCTCTCCCCGTGACCTCCATGACTGGGATCCGCCTTCGGATGGCTATCCTCGTCTCGACGCTCCGGTGCGGGCGCGGCGGTCGCCGGCCAGAAGTTGGCGTTGGCGAGCCTTCTGATGGAGTTCGTGAGGAGGCCGAGAGTCGACGCGGCGCTAGCTGACGTGCTGTTTAGTCGCTCGGTCAGACGATCCGTCCTGGGTGTAGGGGGCGCCGCCGTCTCACGGTTGGACGCCCGCTCGTACCTGTCCGGCTTGCGCGACGCAAATTTATCGAATCTCTCATTGTTCGGCGGCAGTACGGCGCCGCCGCCCGAGGTCTTGGTGCACTGCCCTCTGGCGGTAGGATTGGGAAGCGTCGCGCCCGAGAGGAAGGGCAGATGATCGGCTGCGGAGACGAGACGAGTCAACTGTTCACCTCCCCCGCGAATCCGCATCTCGCTGCAGTGGAGGGGTTCGTTCGTGCTGCGCGAATACACCTGTCAGTGGCCTTCTATACCATCATAGCAAGTCGTAGACGATCGCCAGCACTCAACCGAAACTACCGAGGTCAACATTGGATCTTCGACATCGTGAACGTTAGCCAGTCGTAGATTCGATTGCTTCCTTCGAGTTTAAATCTAGCTGGAAATCTTTCTGTACCTCGATCCTATAAACAAGAAGCATTAAGGCTAGCGTGTGGCAGTTGATAGTGGCGACCGTTATGAACTCCCTACAACCTGAACTTGTACTATTAGTATTAGTCTAATTAAGTTGTAGTACTACCAGGAGTAAGATAATATAGGATCCTATATTATCTTACTCCTGGTACTACTAAATAGTGAGGCCCTTAACCTATAGTGTAGTACTACTACTACTACTAGTGTAGTAGTACAACTTCAAGGCCTGCTGACTGCTGACTGCTCAGTCTGCTGTACCACTCCACCACGACTGATAAAATTTTCGTGTTTTCTCGTACGATCAATTAAATTTAATTCAATTCAAAAATGTTTATTCACGCATTACAATATACATAAATAATATTAATATT